AAGTGTTCATTTGTCCACACCCATCACACCATGTGCTGTGGTGGTGGTTTTACCAACATTATCACATCTCTAGTAATCATCCTCTCCATAATTACTCAAGTCCCATTATTTGTCAGACTCTCTACTAGGCAGTGAAAATAAAAGGCAAAGATGGAGAAAACAGATATGATGGGAGGACATGAGGGCTAAACCAACAATTGCAGCGAGTGTGAGCTCAGTGAAAGAGGCAAGCACTTGGTGACCTCAGAGGAGAGGAGAGGAAAGCTTTAATTCAAAATGGTGTGAATATACTTTGTATACAACCAGAGATATGAAAAATTGTGCTCTATATGTGTAATATGAAGTGTAATGCATTCCACTATCATATGTAAATTTTAAAAAATTAATAAGAAAATGGTTCTACATGGGGCTGGGGATGTGGCTCAAGTGGTAGAGCGCTCACCTGGCATGCGTGCGGCCCGGGTTCGATCCTTAGCACCACATACAAACAAAGATGTTGTGTCCGCTGAAAACTAAAAAATAAATATTAAAAAATTCTCTCTCTCTCTCCATTGCTAATATACCAAAAGGGGGGGGGGGGGGGGGGGGGGGGGGTTTTTGTATTTTAAAAAAAAAAAAAAAAAAAGAAAATGGTTCTACAGGAAATAAGAAAAACAATTACTCCCAGAATCCCACTATCTAGATAAAATTAATACTATGTTGTACATCTTTGCAGACTACACCATAGATATTTAGTTCTTCAAAAATGTTTCTGCCTCACTCCACAGACAGCAGCAAGTGTCTCCTCTAGTATCAATATGTAGATGCCACTATGTAGCTGTTAACTGAAAGTTTAGCTTAAGTTAAGGAATCTGGGGGGAACATTGAACTTAATTATTGCTAATTTTTTTTAATATTTATTTTTTAGTTATCGGCAGACACAACATCTTTGTTTGTATGTGGTGCTGAGGATCGAACCCGGGGCACACGCATGCCAGGCAAGCGCATGCCAGGCAAGCGCGCTACCGCTTGAGCCACATCCCCAGCCCCATTACTGCTAATTTTGAAATGTCTTCGTAATAGTAGCTTTGGCACAGACGCAGCACTATGGAAGGCTAGAAGATGGAGTCACACTTATCTATTTTCTATGGAAACTGTTTGAATATTTGTTTTATATGGATTTTTATTCACTTTTCAAACAAGTTACTAAAGAGTGCCCCCTCAGCTGTCCAGCAAGCATTTGTAGCTTGTACATGGCAGAATGGACCAAAAGTATAATGTTGTGACTGGTTTTGAAAATAGCGGCTTGGGAGGCTGAGACAGGAGAATCTGAAGTTCAAAGTCAGCCTCAGCAACTGGGAGGCAGTAAGCAATTCAGTGAGACACTGTCTCTAAATCAAATACAGAATAGGGTTGGGGGTGTGACTCAGTGGTGGAGTACCCCTGAGTTCAATCCTTGGTACCAAAAAAAAAAAAAAAAAGAAAGAAAAGAAATTATCTTGAAATAATAATAATAAAAAAGTTTCTGTAAACTAGGACTTTAAAAAAATAATGTATTAGGGGGCTGGGGTTGTGGCTCAGCGGTAGAGCACTCACCTCTTACGTGTGAGACCCTGGGTTCCATCCTCAGCATCACATAAAAATAAATAAACAAAATAAAGATATTGTACCCATGTATAACTAAAAAAATATTTTAAAAAAAGTAATGTATTAGATTGGGCATGGTGGCACACACCTGTAATCCATGCTTCTTAGGAGGCTCAGACAATAGGATCCCATGTTCAAGGCTAGCCTAAGGCAACTTAGTGAGAGAGACACTGTCTCAAAAAAAAAAAAAAAAAATGCGAGGGGTTGGGGAGGGGGAGGCTAGGAATGTACCTCAGTGGTACAGCTCTTGCCTAACATTTGTAAGGCCTTAGTTCAATCCCCCATACTGGAAAAAAAAAAAGTATTATGAACCTCTTTCCATCTCAATAAACATAATTTCCATTGTTTTTTAGCTATATAATATTCCACTTTATAAATGTACTATGATGTAGACTATTTTCAAATTGGAAATTTGGATTGATTCTACTTTTTAAAAATAGAAACAAAAACCATGACATATGAACAACATAATGACAACTCTTATTCATAGATCTGTGTTTCCCAAACAGTGTGCAAAGGTGCCCCTATAACACCACAGAGAACTTCCAGAGAAGCTGCATCCTTTTGAGGGGAATATAGAAACATCTGACATCTGTTGGGATGCTTTATGAGCTATTATTAGCTCCAGGTAGTTCACGTATTCAACACTAGATCAATGAGGTCACAGCTTTGTAAAGTTGGGTTTTTGCTGGTGCTGTAATAGTGAGCCTTGTACAAAAATCAGTATGATTCTGGAAATGAGAGTGATTATGTCCAACCTGACTAGAAGGTTTGAGAAGCTATATGATGACCAAGAGATACATATATTCTGTTAGTTAAGAAATCTATTTAATAATGAAATACAAATTCTATTTCTTTCAATGTATGTGAATTATTTTTTCAAATAGCTGCCAAGTTAGGGCATAAATACTCATTATTTGGACCCAACAACTTAAAAACATTGTTTTTTATTTCTTTTGATCTAGGGGTGTTGGGGAAAAAAATCACTGAGACACTAGAGCTACCATGAACCTAGAAAGTTTGGGAACCTCTAACAAAAAAATTTTAACAGTAAAACTGCTGGTTCTGAGGCTCTGCAACCTTTATATGTTTTAAATATTGCCAACTGCCCTTCAGAAATATTATACCAATTTACCCTCCCCCCCCCCCCGCCCCCACCACTAGTAGGCTAGTTTCCTTTTAGACTGGTGACCCTTGGACTAAATGAGAGACCAGAGGGGTTAACTTGAAAGAGAAACTGTGACTGATGCACTGGGCTGAGTTTGATTTTTTAAGTAATACAAAAAATAGTTAGAAAACATCTCTAGTTGTCTTAGGCTTCAAATCTTTAAGGGAGAGACTATTTTACTTCACCCCCAACTCCCAAATCTGCTACAGGGCTCTGTGAAAGCATGTTAACAAAAAGGAAAAAACCCCCTTACCTCAAGGGTTTCTAAGGCAAGATTGAAAATAATGACAGGCTATAGTCAAGTATACACATATACTTGAGGTTGCCGGACAAAATACAGAATGCTCAGTTGAATTTAAATTTTACAAGTCAAGGTTCATATATTTTTCTCCCATGTGTGGAAGCCAGAGAGAAAAAAGTGTGTGTGGGGGAGGGGATCTCATGAAAATAAAAGGAAGACAGAGTACAGGAAGGGGATCAGATAGGGGGAGATGGGGAGGAAAATAGAAGGTACAGGGGAATGAAATGGAGCAAATTATATTATTATATTGTGTGCATGTATGAATGTATAACAATGAATACCACTATTATGTATAATTATACTGCATCACCAAAAAATTACCAAAAATTTAAATTTCAGATAAACAATGAATCATTATTTTAAAGTAACTATTTCCAAATTTTGCATGGGGTGTATCTACACTATAAAAAGTTGTTCCTTGTTTGAGATGAAAATTGTACCTGAGTGTCAAGAAGAACCTAAGGAAACATAACCACCAAGTGTAATGTGATATATTGGGTGGTATCCTGGGACAGGAAGAGGACATTAGGGAAAGACTGAAGAAATACAGATTTTTATGAATAATATTGTATTACTATTATTTTATTAATTGTGACAAATACACCATAATAATATGTTAATAATAGGGAAAATTGGGACTTAGGATAAATAAGAACTATCTGTATAATTCAAAATATGAAAAATTTATTTTATCTTTTTTTGGGGTGCTGGGGATTGAACTCAGTCACTGAGCAACATCCCCAGCCCAATTTTGTGTTTTATTTAGAGACAGGGTCTCACTGAGTTGCTTATTGCCTTGTCATTGCTGAGGCTGGTTTTGGACTCGACATCCTCCTGCCTCAGCGTCCCAAGCTGCTGAGAGTACAGGCGTGAACCACCTCGCCCAGCATGAATAATTTACCTTTAAGTTGACAGTTAAGGGATTTGTGTATGATTTTGCCTAAATATTTGATCCAAACACTATTTTCCATAAACAACTCAATTGTTTTCCTTTTTAAGCAAGGCTCAAGTAAGCCAATAATTATTAGAAGGGAATATAATCTTCAAGATGTATTGCCCTTGAATACCATAATTTTATCACCAATTCCAACCAATTTCAGAAGCTAAAAAGGAACTCTCCCCCCTTTCCCCACACACAGTAACCATCAATAGAATTATCTTAATTTGGGGTGTACATATCATTTCAAGAGTTTTCTTAAAACGTCCAGTTATGAGAAAATTGGCAGGTTAATGCCCTGCAAGTAACCACTTGCCTAGAGTGACTGCTAATTTGTGCTGCTTGGATGGAAAACAGTGCTGATTATTTTACCCTCCACGTTGCTCCTCTAGGGGAGAACCTGTGTGTTATGGGAGAAGACCTTAAGAGTCTGGAATAAAAATAGAACTGTATAAAGGTTTTATTCGACGATGAGCTTAGAAAAGATCTTATAAAAAAATTGGCAGGTGGAGCCTTTAAAAATGAGAGTTAGTTTTAGAATACTTGCCTGTTTCTATATACAAGACTACCAAATACATTTCCCACAGCTTATTCTGTCTTGTTGCTATACAAAATCAGAAAGATTAATACTTAAGAGCTGATAATATGCTAGGCCTTGTAAAAAAAAAATCATAGCATTCAGATGCTAATGAAATCACATCTCAGGGGTTGTATGGGTTCCCTTGGTCTTAATTCTCATTTGTAAAGTAGTAAGTCCCCCAAACTAACATGTACACCACATTTACATATGACACACACGTGTATATACACAAGTGGACAAAAGATTGGCACACCATCATACATTTCACTTTGCAAACGTGCAGGGCATCTACTATGTGCAAAAAAAAAAAAAAAAAAAAATGCTGAAGAGCCTTGCTGTGTCCAGAGACAAGAAATGGTTCTTATGCTCTGTTTCTAGGTGTGCCACTCAAAAAAGGTTTTGTACTTTAAGAAGGGAGGAGAATCATATGGTAAATTGTACTTTTATTTATTTCCCAATGTCCGTGGTCTCGTTTTTGATAAAGCAAATTTTGTTTTAAAAGACACGCTGTGAAGGATTTGGACCCCTTCTACAGCAAAGCCATATATTCAACACATTTATTTACATACAAGGGAGTCGTTTTGTTTTGAAAACTCGGCTGCTCCCGAAGCGGCTCGGCGAGGTCGGAAAGGCCGAGCAGCAGAGTCGGTCAGGCCCGAGACCCCGAGACCCCAGCCTCAGGGCTCACAGACCCCCAGCGACCGCCTTCCGGTGCGCAAGAGGCCGCCGGCCCAGGCAGCGCCCTGCCCAGGGCCTGGACGCGCGTTCCGGGAGAAAGGCGGCGAGGGCGGGGCTTGGGGTTGTACGAGGCTATTTCCTCACACAGTGATCAGTCAGTACCAGAGGCCGCGTGGGGGCCGGTGCGGAGCGCCACATGGCGTGACCCAGCCGGGCCTTGGCGTTGGCGGGCACTGAGGCAGTGTAATGCGGGAAGCGTATGGTCCACATGGGGGAAGGAAGTGCCAGCTAACGAATATTTCACCACAGCCCACACGCCTAGGAGAGGAAATTTGAGAGCGCGTGGGGGAGGGGCGGAGAGAGCAGGCAGCTCCAAAGAGCATGCTCCGTTCTAAGAGCCGTAAGTGTAGAGCCAGGCATGCGCAATGAGCCTAGGGTGGGCTGGCGTGAGCGGGCTAATGTGTTTATCCGGTTCTCTGGGTGGGCGGTCAAAGCGCACGCGTCAGGGCGAAAGGCGGTGAGTCGGCTGGTGGGTTGCGCATGCGCCGAGAGCCGGTAGCTCGGGCGGGCGTGGAGGGGGTTCTTAGAGGAGAAGCAGGGGAAAAGGGAAGCGAAGGGAAAGGGAAGGGCGGGGGGAGGGGTGAGAGTGTGCTCTGCGCATGCGTGCGAGCGCTAGCGACGACGGCGGCGGGGGAGTCTCGGGGATGACAGTGGCTTTGCCCGTTGGGGTAACGGTCGTCGTCGCCGGCCGGGCCTGAGGCGCCGTACAGCCCGCGGGATCCATTACGGCCGTAGCATCCCGGGCCCTGCCGAGCTAGAGCGGCGCGTGGAGTCGGGGTGAGGGCGGCGAGGCGCGGGGGAGGGGCCTGCAGCGGGGCCTTGCCGTGTGCGCTGGGCGGCGGCGGGGCCTGGCGGTGTGAACGCTCTCCTCTGCCTCTGCCGGACGGGCTGCGCTGCGGGCGGCGGCGGTCGTGCTTAGCGGAGGAGTCATCTGTGTGTGCGGCGCCGAAAAGATGGCCGGGCAGTGAGGGGGCGGCGCTTGCGCCTGGTGACCCCGGAGTGTGCGACTGAGGAGCTAGGGGCGCCGCCGCGGCCCGCTGGGCCTGCTCCCCGCCCCCTCCCGCCCGCCGGCGGCGGCCCGCGCACTTCCTCCCCGGCCCTCCCCTCTCGGGCGGGGGCCTCTCCGACCCGCCTCACCACTCCAGGGAACTGCGGGCTGCAACCGCGGGGCGGAGAGCCAGGGCGCAGTCTGCTCCCCGCGTCCGATATGGCGAGAGCCGCGGCGGCGTCCGCCTGCCGCAGCAGAAACCTCCGCCGCCGTCGCGGCTTCCTGCACTAGATCGAGGAAGCCGACGCCCGAGCCTTCGCCCTTGCCGTCTCCACTGCCTCCGTGTCGGGCGCTGCAATGGAGTAAGCGGACCCGCCGCCCGGGAGAAGCGTGCCGCCCCTCGGACCCGGCCGGGCCTGCTCTGCGCCCGCCAGCACGCCTTGAAATGCATCTCGAGCTAAGGCCGCCCGCCGAGCCGCGGGGCTAGACTGAGCGCCGCGTTCTGCGCTCCGCCGCCGCTCCGGACGAATTCGAACGCTCGTCTCGCTCTCGCTTTCTTCCTTTTTTTTTTTTTTTTTGGTCTGGAAGTCTCAGGGACGGAGGAGGGGCGCCAAGGCCCCATGTGTGGGAGGATTGCTTCAGCTCCACAAACTTGCGCGGATTTTCGTTACTTCTTTGGCCCGTGGTTCTGCTCTGATTTCTTCCGAATTGTTGCAAATTCGCCATTGTTCCCTGGCTGCTCACAAAGTTTGATCCGGAATTTCTTTTCAACCGGGAGCCACTGGTGTCGAAGTGTCTGCAATGAACCCCGTGAATGCTACTGCTCTCTACATTTCTGCGAGCCGCCTAGTGCTCAACTACGACCCCGGAGACCCCAAGGCGTTTACAGAGATTAACAGGCTCTTGCCTTACTTCCGACAGTCTCTCTCGTGCTGTGTTTGCGGTGAGATGCTTTTTATTGTTCCCCTTTCAATGCGTGTTTTAAAAAGCCTCCTGGGCAGGGATAACGTGAATGGTTTGACTACATGGTAGTTTGATTTAAGCTTTTGTTATTTGTGCGGTAGTGTAAGGTCATTAGTTTTGAAACTCTCCGAGGGACTTTTGCCTAGCGTTCCAGAAAGGCAGAGAACCCTTTCAAAACCTCTTTGTACGGCGACCTTAACGTTCTGAACCGGTTAATTCTCCTTGGTTCATCCGGTGATTGACGATTTAAATGGGGTTAAGATATGCATGCACAATGCCAGTTTTTTAAAACCTTTGCTGCAGGAACTGATTTGAGTACTTACCGTGGTTAAACGTGGTTAAACATAGTTAAGACATGCACATGTGGCGTGTTTGCATTTCCCCAAGCTGGCGTTTTGTGGAGGTGGTGGTATAATCTGATGCACCCACGACCAGATAACTCTGCGAAACTTTCCCCCCAGGTCCTTCAACAAATGCTTTGAGTCAGGGAAGATAGATGGTGCTCTTTAAGTGCTGCTTAGGTGATGTGATTTTTACTAATTGTTTCTTATTTTGTAAATTTAGTATATTATGGCCTGGTAGAGAGTTATTTTAGACGTTGTTGTTCAAAAGTGTTAACTCGTGGTGGGTTGGATACCGTTTAATTGAAATGCCTCAAATGGGGGGATAATTTGTGTTAACTGTGCGTGTATTATTATGTACATGCTTTGCAAAAAGTCTAGAATGAAATGTTGATGCAAAGGAAAGCATGAATAGACTCCAAATTTTTACGTTTTTGTCAGTCCACTTGTGTAGTCAAAATTTGAGAAGTTTAGGCATTTTCAGGTTTCCACTTCATTTAAAATTGGGTAAAGGAGAATAATTTCTTAATAGTGACCGAAGGAGTAAATAGTATTCATTTGAGAGTCATCCAGCATTTTTTTGTGTAGCCTTTTGTACTTTTTGTGTGTCAGATACTTACCTCGTAGACTGAGGGAGTTAGTGGTTAAGCTTAGTTATGACAGGTAATGGAATTTAACATCTTCACCCAGGACAAATCTCTTAACTGCCCTGGGCCTCAGTTTCTTGATGTGCAAGATGAGACCTTTGGGCTAGATTCAGAGTTTCTTTGCAGTTTAAAATTTACAAAGGGCAGTATAATATGGAGAATTTGCTAGGTTGCACAGTACCATTCTCCCCACTTTCATCCCGCCCTGCTTTTTGTGGTGCTGGGAATGAAACCCAGAGGCATGCTAGACAGGCACTCTGCTACTGAGCTACATCCCCAGCCCTTCCTTTACTTTTATGGAGTGCTTCTTTTTATGCTGTAGCTTTTGGTGGTTTGAGAAGTCGGGAGATAGAGCTGTCCTAGTTTCCTTCTCCACAGACATTCTGTCTCTCTTTTTTAAGGAGGGTAATGGTGCTGCTGTGGTAAAGTAAGAGAAAGAGTGTAGGGCAATCCCCTCTATCCTGCTGAAACAGCTGTACTGAGTATTGTCATCAGGTGACACTTGCAGATCTGGTAGGTCTTCGTTTTACTAGGTGGATGGGATAGATATTTGTTACTTTAAATTTTTTCCAGTAGCTTCAGGTTAGCAGTGGTCTAATTGAATATTTTCCCAGATTCTAACTTGTATTTTAAAAAGTGACTTTAAGCTGGGCTTGATGGTGCATGCCTGTAATCCCAGCAATTTTGGAGGTTGAGGCGGGAAGATCACAAGTTGCAGGCCATACTGGGCAATTTAGCAAGATCTCTTAGGGTAAAAAACACAAAGTGGGCTGGGGATTTAGCTCAATTGTAGAACGCTGGCTCTGGATTCAGTCCCCAGTATGGGGGACAGGGCCCAGGAGGGGGTGTTAAATAAATATGAAGCTACATTTAAAAAGAAGTCCAACTGCAGCTTTTAAAAAAAACATTCACTGTGAGGAGAATTTTTTCTGACATCAGAGCTTTGTCAGAAATTGGGTAAAGGCCTCTTGTTCAAGCCTCCCTCATCATCCTATGGAAGAGATTCATGAATTTTAGTCTCCCTTATAATTGAGTGGCGTGAAATTTTAGTAATGTGAATATAAGTTCAGGCCCTCCCCCCCTGTGTCTGTGCTTGTCAAGAAAGAAAAAAAAATGTTTAGTTGAATTTAGTTCTGTCATTAAATTTGTACCAGGTTCTGCCCTAAGCCTTTTTTTTTTTTTTTTTATGGCTCAAAAGCATGAACTCATTCATATAAGGCTTGCATGTGCATTCTTATCTCATAAGAATAATAAATATGTAAAAATAAAGTTTCAATCTATTTTGGTTCTGTAGGGAGTTTATTCAACAGGTCCTCTAGTGTTTGACTTAGTCCTACCTTTTCAGTTTTGTATTCAAGTATGCTCTCATATAATTTCTTTTCTAGCCAAACGTCTTTGCCTTTTCAAACATCCTTTATATCTTCCTCCTCTTTTCCTTTCCATTGTTCCTTGAAGTTTCTTCTTCCTAAAATATACTCCTTTTCTCTAAAGGTCTAATTCATCAACTCCCTTCCTTGCTCCCTCCAGCAAAGGCTTGTCTCCTTGTCCCCTGAACCTCTTTTGTAACCCTTTGTTACATTCATAAGGTACTTATAAAATTCCTTTCAATGCAGTTTTTCTATCTGATTTTTCTGGTGTATTTAATAAGCCTAGGGAAAGTACATTTTTATGCTCCTGCTTCACCCTCTCCTGTCTGGTGACTTCTTGTAAAGTTTTCTGCCTTCAGCTCTTCCAGGACTGGAGATTGAATCCAGGGCAAGAGCTCTCTACCTTTGAGTTATGTCCCCACCCTTTTTTTTGTTTTTTATTTTGAGAAAGGGTTTTGCTAAGTTGCCCAGGTTGGTGCCTCAGCCTCCTAAGTCTCTGGGATTACAGGCATGCATAACTATACTTGACAGTATATAAGTTTTTATAGACAGAGGAAAAAGTGAAAGGAAGTGAGGGAAGATAAAAGGCCTAATAAACATTTTGCAGTTAGGCTCAAGTCTTGACTTTTCTATTTACTGTGTAGGCAAGTTAATTTAACTTTTTGCCTCAGTTTCCTTCATTTGCTGTGTGTTTATATCTCCAAGTTTGTGTTATATGTGAACTTATTAATGGCTTGAAACAAAGTTTTAAATTCATAAGAACAAATCTACAGATTCAATGACTGGCACTACTAAGTGCTTACCCCACCTTTGCATAGAAGTAGAGGAAGGTGGAAGCAGGTGAGGGAAGAGACTGCACTGTCAGGTCAATTATTGTCAAAGCTAGATACTCACTGGAATTACAGGTTTTTTTATCCTTGTTCTTTGAAATGTTAATTAGCTGATTATCACTGTTTGCTTTTCAACTGTATACATTCAAACCTTTGGAAGCTTCTAGCGAATTGGGATAGCAGTGCTCTAGAGAATTATTGTTCTTTCTAGGTCACATAAACAGTGACCAGAACAATCACTATGGGTACCTTTTTTAAGTGTTAGTTACTTATTCCTCTTCAAAATGTTGGACTTGCTTATCAAGAAGTTAGAATTTCTTTTCCTTTAATGGGGTGAGAATTGATAAATTATGCCCTAGGGATTTTAGATTTTCATTTAACTTTTAAGTTGATATGTAGAGTCAAGTCCTGTTAGAAGAAAAATTTGGAGTCCTATAAATCATTTTGGTCAGATATCTTCTCAGGTACATGAATATTTTCCTAGTGTTTTAGTTAGATACAAAGTGATTTTGGTTTTGAATTTATTGAATAGTTGTGAACCTGTTACACACATAATTCTTTATTTTTTGGGTACCAGGGATTGAACTCTCAACTACTGAGCCACATCCCCAGTCCTATTTTGTATTTTATTTAGAGATGGGGTCTCATTGAGTTGCTTAGCGCCTTGCCATTGCTGAGGCTGGCTTTGAACTCGCCATCCTTCTGTCTCAGCTTCCCGATCAGCGTGCCTTGCCATGTAATTTTTCACATACAAAATAGGGAAGGGACTGGAGGTTGTTTTCTGTTGACACAGTATGATATTTGGTGACTAGCTTTTTGTTTGCATGTTTAGGACCTAAAAACATCATCTTTTCATTTTTACTGCTATTCTTACCTTCTGCTGAAAGGTAGGTGGTTCCTTGAGGGTGGGACCTTCCTTGGTTCACCATTGTACCCATTTCTGTTAGTGTTGGCTTAACATTTCTATTTGTTGAAAGGGTAAGTACTTGTCCTATTGAAATGAGAATTTTTCAGTATCATTGGAGTACTAAGAGCATGCTTTCAGAATAAGGAATAGCTTTTAAAATTAAATAGATATAGCTTTATGAATGACTTTTTCTCCTCATTTTATTATTGTAAAAAGCATTATGGATCTACATTGAATTAGTAGAATAGTCATGCAGAGATCTTTAAGTTCTAGAATTCTGATTTTTCTCTTAGCAGAAATTCTTTGCTTTGTGCCTGACAAACAATAATCTATAAATAGTCTTCTAATATGTAATTTGAAGGTATAACCTCAAGTGACTTATTTTAAACTATATTTCTATTAGATGGAAGCTAAATTAAAGACCATTTGAATAATTGCATATTATGTTAATGATTTTGTTCATTTTTCTCAAGCATAAGATCATTTTATTCTTAAAATTTTTCTTGTTCTTTTAAATCACTTTTTTTTTTGTGTGTGGTAAATACACAACAGCATTTACCATTTTCATTTGATTGATATATATATATATATATATATCCTTATATATGCAGTATATTTTTATATACTGTGAAGTAGATCTCTAGACCTTTTTCATCTTGCAAATATGAAACTCTAAACCCATTAGCAACAACTGTCCATTTCCCACTATGTCCAGACTGATAATCACCATCCTGATTTGTTTTTAAAAATTTGACAACTTAGGTTCTTCATATAAATGGAATCAAATAGTTTTTTTTTAAAAGGCTTATTTCATTAGTATTATGTCATTAAGGACATAATCAGGATTTTCGCTCCCCCCCTTTAAAAAAATGTTTATTTTTTAGTATA